CCTGGGCGGGTCCACGGTTAGGGACGCAGCCTGGGGTCCCCGTGGTCGCTCCAGGGCTTGCTTCAGTTCCTAGCACGGGGAGGTCCCCGCGTAGCCGGTTTTCGGGGGAGTGAGGCCCACGGCAGTTGTGCAGTGGCCGCAGGATCCGAACTCAGGCCTGCGGACTCCACCGCCTGGCGCTTTCTTCCGTCCTCACTCCCTCCCAGGCGAGGGTGGGCCTCCCCGTGTGTTGTCCTCAGGCCGCCTGCGCAGACGGTGCCCATGAATCAAGCTGACGTTTCCATGACCCCGGAGAAGAGTGTGTGGCCTGACGGGTGCAGGGCCGACGGCTCCTGGCCGCCCCCAGGAAGGATGCCCGCCCAGCCCCTCGTGGAGGCCAGGCCTGCCCCTGCAGCTGGGGGAGGGTGACCCGAGAACAGCAGGCAGACTGGGAGTGCCCAGGGCCGCATCATGGGCCTATTCTTGCAGTGCCAGCACACGTGTGGCATTTTGTCTGGGGCTGGCACATGCACACGCGGGTGTGCACGGGACAGACAGGAGCACACAGCGCGGACCAGTGTGGTGGACCCACGGCTTGCACACGGGCCGACTTGAGCCTGTGCCATGTCAGGGGCATGTGCGTGTGTGTGTGGTCCACACGTTGGACACAGCGTGGCCAGCATGAGTCTGGGGCATGTGGAGAGAGACTCTGGCCCAATGCCAGGCAGAGCCCACTCACTGCGTGAGGACCGCCTGGGGCTGTGGGTCAGACCAGGCGTGGTGTTGGACGTGCACGCCGGAAGCCAGCAGCCAGCGCCTCCCTCGGTGGTCCGTGCAGGGGAGCTGGGAAAGCTATTTGTCTCTGGGGGCTCACCTGGGGACCTGCTGCCTCCAAGCCAAGTGCCGCCTGTCACCTCCAAGAGTCAGGCAGGCAGTGGCATTTGCTCCCTGCAAGAAGACAGCTCTCACAGTTGCTCTCAGCGACCCAGCCTGCCTGGAAATGCTTGCTTTTGTCTAGCCAGCAGCCTTCTCGCGGCAGGTTCCGTGCGACTGAGGCAGCTTGTTCTCAGCCCCTGCCCAGGAGGTGCCCAAAAGGAGACAGGAAGCCGAGTGGCCCTGTGAGCCTGCCACCTCGTCCCCTTCCCTCGTGACAATGGCCCTCACTCAAGCCACCCACATTTTATCATCACATTCCACTTGCACGATTATTTATTTGATATTTTTCTTTAAGCCGACTCTTTCTTTTTACTTAAACGCCTATGTTGGTTTCATCCTAAGCAATAACGCCTGTGAAATCACAGCCCTACTGTGCCCATGATACATTTTTTTCTAATACATGTTTACATAAACACAACAATTAAAATAGATTAGAGCCTCGCCCGCTTGTCTCCTAAAGCCATCTTCTGGGCCTCCTGTGGCCACTTGCCAGCTTCAAACACACCCGGTGAGAATGAGAGCTCCAAATACCTGGCGGCCCAGGACAGATTCCTGTCAACACGCCGGGCCCATTCCCAGGCCCCGAACTCCTTGTCCTGACGTCAAGGCCTCAGCAGCTGGGCCCCAAGCCCTCTCCCAGGCCCATGTCCAGCCCCACCCGGTGGGTCCTCGGTGTTTACCGAACAAGTGAACCGTGGATGGACAAATCTCTCATGTGAGTGAATGCACAAATGAACGAATGAGCAACACCTCCACCTGGCTGTCCCCTGGGCCCTGAGACTCAAGACATCTGGACCAGGATGTCTCCACCTTCCTCACCCCCCGCCTGCCCCCATAGCTGCAAGGCATTGCCAGCGTCCCCCTCCTCCCAGGTCAGCCCATCCCTGCCCATCCACTCCCCGCTGCCGGGCTCCTGCTCTCTGCTCTCACAGAGCTGCGGGGGTGAGGAAGGGAGACGGGCCACCTGCTTCCATCCCTGCCCGGCTGGGCGGTCTTCAAGAACGCACACCTGGGCACATCCTGCCCTGCTGCCAGCCTCTCGCTGCGTCCGCCTTGGGACACGAGGGTTCCAACCCTTCCGACCTGGCTCCACCCCCGTGGTGGCCTGACCCGCTTCTCCCCACACCCGCCTTCTGGACGTCGCCAAGTCCCACAGGTCCTCCCTTCGCCAGCTCTCGCCTGCCCGATGCCTTGGCCACCTTCGTGTCTTGGAATACACGCCTTTTCCCAAGAAGGCTCCCCCGACCGCCACCGGCTCCCGCGCCGCCTGGCCGGCGCTGCCTTTGGACCCCACAGCCCAGCTTCCCCTCACTGTCACTGTCGCGCCCGCAAAGCCCCGCTCCACACGCCGGGCTGGGTTCCGCATGCTCCCGGCTCACGCGGTCCTCCCACAGCCTCAAGAGGCCGGCATGATGACGGTCCCATTTAATGGAGGCGGAAACGGAAGCACAGAGAGACAGAGTAGCTGGCCCAAGGTCTCAAGTGGAGGAGGTGACATCTGAACCCAGGTCGTCTGGCCCCAGAGTGGGGCCCCACAGCCCTTAGCGACAACAGACGCCCGCGCCGGACGCTCCAGCATCCCAGCTCAAGGGCCTACCGCCGGGCTGGCGCACGGTCCATGCACGATGAATCACAGCCGTGGACAGACGGATGCAGCAATGGGTGGCTGAAGAATGGGGGGGTGGGTGGATGGACGGACGGGTAATGCACGGCTGGGGGATGGAGGGATGGAGGGGTGGACGGACGATGAGGGGTGGATGAACGCCAGACGGGGGACGGGTGGATAAGCAGAGAATGGATGGAAGATGGGGGGATGGGTGGAGGGCTGATGGATGGACGGATGGGGAACGCGAGGGTGGATGACGGAGGGTGGATTGGTGGGCGGGGAAGCAGCGAGGGGAGGGGTGGTGAATAGATGGGAGGACGGCTGGTGAACGAATGAAGGGGCGGGTTATGGGCGGACGGTGGGTGGGTGGTGGGTAGACGGATAACGGAGAGACAGATTGTGGGTGATGGGTGGCCGAAGGGATGGACGGCTACAGAAGACAGGTGTGTTCGGTCTGGGGGAAAGCTCCAGAAATCCTTCTGGGAAGGGATAGGGCCTCTGGGGAGATGCCTGAGCTGGGAGCCAGGAGTCCTGGTTCAAACCTCAGCTCGGCATGCAGGATCTCAGCCATCTGAGGCAAGTCCCTTTGTCTCCGTGACCCCAAGTCCCCTCATCTCTGCAATAGGAACCTGTTTCCCGGGCATCTAACCTGGGGTTTCAGGTGCCGGTGCCCCTGGACACAGGGTCAAGGGTCCGCATGGGGGCAGGTGCGATGGTGTTGCTCCCAGGAGGAACATGGCTTCTCCACCCTCCCGGCTCAGGGCTGGGCTTGGGGGCTGGCTCTTGCCCACCCTGGGCTTTCCGCTTGCCTGGCCCCGCCTTGCCCGCCCTCGGGAGCCCACAGCAGCCCTGCCGGCCTGTGCCCAGCCCCCTCCATCCCCCAGCGTCCCGCCCTGACCTCGGCACTCACTGCTCTCACCTCAGCCTCCTGGAGGGGCAGCCACAGCCCAGGCAGCAACTGGCCTCCACACACCGCAAGAAGACAGGTTCAACAAGCATTTATTGAGCCCCTGCTGTGTGCCTGCTGTGCAACGCCCCTGCGGTGCCAGCGCCGTGCCCCTTCTTCGGGAACCCGCTCCCTGCCCTGCAGGGCTCTGCCCCTCTGGGCACAGGTAACTTGCCCAAGGTCTCACGTGGAGGAGGTCCTGGCTGGCATGGGCGCCAGGCATTCAGCGGCCAGTGTCCGTGTCCCCCAATCCCTTGGGCCTGCCCTGGGCGGCGGTGGGCAGGCGGGTCTGGTGTCTCCGGCACAAGCCAGCTGAGTCCACGGCGCACAGGCCGGAGGTCCGGGTGCCAGACCGGCGTCTTGCGGCAGGTGACCGTGCCAGCGGCGGCCTGAGGTCCCGGGCCAGGCCGGGGTCTCAGTCACACCCAGTGCCCCAGGACCCAGCACTGGCGGTTCAGCTCTGGCGCCTCCTGGGCCGAGCTCCGGGGCCAGGAATCCCCCATGTGTGGCTGGTGTCCTGCCGGGAGACAAGGGGTCAGCGCGCGACGGCCTTCCCTCTAGCCCCTGCCCCTCCCGCACCCATCACCCTCCCACCCACAGGCCCTATCTGCCCTCCCGCCTGCTCCCCATCCCCAGCCCTCCCCACTGGCCGCCACTGTGTCTCCACACCACCCACCCACACCCACACTCCACCCTCCCAACAGCCCACTGTGGGACCTCCACCCTCCACCCACCGACCTCATGTTGCCCGGCTTCCCACGCCGGCCTGCTCCCCGCCCCTCTACCCCCCTTCCGCCCCCACCCTGGGGGACCCACCCACCCTCACCCACCCACCCTCACCCACCCTCCCCCACCTTCCCCCACCCTCTCCCACTCAGCCACCCTGCAGCCCTCTCTCCAGCGCGCCAGCCGCTCTCCTCCAGGCAGGCCTCCCGGGGTCGCCATGTGCCCAGCAAGAGGGAACGCCTCCCTGGCCCCCAGGCCTTCCCGGACCCCGGGAACGGCGAGTGGTGCCCATGTGCCCACACTGACTTGGCAACTCTCTGGGCGCTAAGACGACGGGCAGAGACTCTGCCCCGCCCTGGCCACCCCTTAGTGGCCCAGGTCCCTCCTCATCCACTGTCCCCACTCTGTGTGTTTCTCGATGCTTGGGAGAGCACTGCCCTGTCCTCTTCCCTCCACTGTCTCTTCAGTCCTAGCATGCCAGAAGCACTCCCCTCTCACATTGTGACCAGCCTGAAACGTCCTTGTCCCTACTGCCTAATCAAAGCCTCAAGACCCAGCTCAAGTTCCGCCTCCTCCAGGAAACCCCCCTGCCATTCCCCCTCCCCCAGTCCTCGGGAATCTCCCTCATCTCATAGCTCCCATGCTGAGCAGCACACTCCTCCAGCTTCATCCCACTAGATCCAGAGCCCAGGAGAGTGATGGTTGAGCCCGGAGAATCAATGGAGGTGGAGCTAGAAGGGGGAAAACCAGGGGCCCAGATTGGCAGGATGGGCGGGGAGGGGCGGAGGGAGGATGGATAAACCAGCAGCTACCGACCACGTGCAGCTCCAAGCACCCCCGCTGGAGTCTACGCTTACGCAAGCCCATAGGGTAGGGTCTATCCATTTCACAGATGAGGAAGCTGAGGCCCTGCAAGGAGAAGTGGCTGCCTCGGATGCTCAGCAATAGTGGAGCCGCAACGAACCCTTTCTTCCTGACCCCAGGCTTCAGTGTTAAGGGAAACGTGTCCAGGCCATCTCTGTTTTCTACTCTGAGCTCCAGCGGATATTCTCACACTTATCCTGCCTTAGGGTCTCACGGGCTCAGGTGGGGATCTCTGGTGAAGCCAGGCTCCTGCTTGCATGCCTCTAAGGACGGGGAGCTCACTGCTCTCCCTTCATCCTCACATCCTAGCAACGAGGCTGGAAGGGGCTGGAAGGGACAAGACCACGGGGGAGATGGCTGCACCAAGAGTGTGGGAGGGGCGGGCTTTGGGGGCTTTGGCACCCCCCCCACTATTTCTTAAAAATATTCTTTAATGTGTTTTGCAAATATAACCATATTTTTTAGAGGGGCGGTAAACATTTTGCAAATGTGGTGGAATCATTTGGCCTTCGAAAAACAAAGAACATTTAATTCAGCCCCCCCATCGTAGAAACAGTTGCATTCTTTGGAAGTTCTTGAGGCCAGGCTAAAGGTGTAGGGGATTCTTTTTTAAATCTAGAAGCAAATATTTCATGCACAGAAAGGTCTGATTGTTTTTCTCAATAAGCATTTAGAAAAGACAGAGACAACCCTTACAGTGGCCCCAGGCCAAACCATCGAGAGTTTACTGGAACAGACAGAGAGGGATCAGGTATAAATATATATATATATTTTAATATATATATATATTGAGTTGGAGTCTCACTCTGTCTCCCAGACTGCAGTGCAGTGGCCGCTCCCGGCCACCACAGCCTCGACCGACCTGCTGGGCTCCAGCGATCCTTCTGCCTCAGCCTTCCTAACACGCCCGGCTGATTTTTGATTGATTGTAGAGATGAGGTCTCACGTACCCAGGCGGATCTCGAACCCACGGGCTCAGGCAATCCACTCACCTCAGCCTCCCAAAGGCGTGGGAATTTTAAGGAAAAAGAAAGGCCGTGATCTCCACCCTTTATTGAGTTAAAATCAGGCTTTCTGTCCCCTGGATCCGGAGGCAAGTCACCGAGGGCTGGGGGAGGCTTGGGGCCCAGAGCCCCAGAGTGTGTGTGTAGGGAGGGAAGCACCTACCAGCCTCCTAGGGTGCCCCCTACCCACTTCCCGTCTCTTCCAGCCCCTTCACTTGGGGGCCAGTCGCCAGCCAGAAAAAAGGCCTTGAGCTTCGAATTAGGACTCCCGATTCAGAATGTCTGTGAGGTGGCCCAAGACGGCGCCAATCACAACCGTGAGGAACATGGGCTCTGGTCTTCCAACACGTTCAGGGAAACCGAAAATCTGGATTTCAGAATAACACTTCCTCGCTTTCAAATGATGGAAATTAAGGCTTTAAAAATATTTCCGGCTGGGCTCGGTGGCTCAGCCTGTAATCCCGCACCTTGGGAGGCTGAGGTGAGTGGATTGCCTGAGCCCGCGGGTTCGAGACCTGCCTGGACAACTTGGCGAGACCTCATCTCTACAATAAATCAAAAAATTAGCCGGGTGTGGTAGCGCTACTTGGAAAGCTGAGGCGGAAGGATCACCGGAGCCCAGCAGGTCGAGGCTGCGGTGGCCGGGAGCGGCCACTGCACTCCAGTCTGGGCGACAGAGTGAGACTCCAACTCAAAAAAAAAAAAAGAAATATTTCCAGCAGTCTGTGGGCCAAGTCATTCTCTCAGGCTGGACTCAGAGAGGCTGCTTCATGGCCCCTGACTATCTCCCAGTCTGTCTTCATCTCACGACTGTCCCATGGGCCTTGCATACCCTGGTACTTTGACTGGGAGCACCCTTCCCTGCTCCCTGGCTCTTCTTTCAAATGCTGCCTCCTCCAGGAAGCGTTAGGCAGCACTTCTCTCCTGTGCTTCATCCTGGGGCTCCCAGCACCCCCCAACCCACCCCAATCTGGCCCAAGCAAGCTCTGAGCTGGCTTTTTTTAAACAAATGAAGAAATCGCAGAAGAGGAGGCAGAAGTGATGTCTGAGCTTGGAGGTGGGCTCTGCCCGCCTTGCTGGCTCTGAGATTCTGTACATTATAAAGAGGCGCCTGTGTGAACAGACACTTCTCAGAGGAAGACGTACGTCCAAGCAGTCAAGAGACAGATGAGAAAATGCTCAACCTTAGTAATCATCAGAGAAACGCAAATCTGAACTACAATGAGATTCCACCTCACCGAGCCACCGGTCAAGATGGCTGTCATTAAAAAGTCAAAACACAACAGGTGCTGGCGAGGCTGCAGAGAAAAGGGGGCGCTTCTACACTGCTGTGGGAACGTAAGCTAGTTCAACCTTTGTAGAAAGCCGCGTGACTATTTCTCATAGAACTAAAACCTGGTCTTCCATACAATCCAGCGATCCCACTTCTGGGACGATACCCAGAGAAGCATAAATCTCTCTACCAAAAAGACCTGCACACACGTCTGTGGCAGCATTATTCACGGGAGCAAAAACATGGAACCAACCCAGATGCTCATTGAAAATGGACTGGATAAGCCGGGCTCAGTGGCTCAGCCTGTAATCCCGTGCCTTTGGAAGGCTGAGGTGAGTGGATTGCCTGAGCCCGTGGGTTCGAGACCTCATCTCTACAATAAATCAAAAAATCAGCCGGGCGTGGTAGCGCATGCCTGTAATTCTGGCTACTCGGAAGGCTGAGGCGGAAGGATCGTGGAGCCCAGCGGATCGAGGCTGCGGTGGCTGGGAGCAGCCACTGCACTCCAGTCTGGGCGA